CTATATTAAACTTCTGTGTGAACGGCACCATCCCCACCAGAACAGTGAGATGCTTCCCGAATAACAAACCCTGGATCGCCAGTGACCGAAAGAAACTTTTAAACAAGTAAAAAAAAAAAAAAGAGCCTTTAGGGAACAAGACAAGGAGCAATTGAGAAGTCTACAGAAAGAGCTCAATGTCAAGATTAGAGACAACAAGGAGAAGTACAGGAAGAGGCTGGAGAATAAACTGCAGAAGGAACAATATCAGAGATGTGGTCAGGGATGAAGAAGGTTACAGGCCTCAATTAAAAGGAGGATCAGACGGATGGAAGTAGGGACAGAGCAAATGAGCTCTGTTCAACAGGTTCAGCTCAAGAACAAGCTCATCATTCTCTTCTCCTGACCCCAGACAGACATCCCACCCTGTGTAGGATTCTGCAGCATCTCTTCAAACTGTCGTGGAAGACATCCTCCTGGTCCCAATACCAAAGAAAACTCATCCATCAGTCATCAACAACTGCAGGCCTGTTGCCCTGACATCCCACAACATGAAGGTCCTAGAAAGAATCCTGTTGGCCCACCTGAGTAAGAAGACAAGCTCATATCAAGACCCTCTGCAGTTTGCTTATCAAAATATAGTTGGAGTTGATGATGCTATCATACACCTGCTTCAACAAACTGTCTTCTGGACAAAGCAGGCAGCGCTGTTGGCAGTTCCTCTGGGGGGAACCTCAGATGTATAATACAATACACTCCAATTTAGTTGACCATGTTACGATAAAACGTATCTAAGAAAGCTCAGCAGATTGCCGTTGATTATTAATTTTTGGATGATTTCCTCATCCAGAGGAAGCATATTGTGCCAGTAGGGAGAAACATCTCTCTAACAGTGCTCGGTATGAGTGGTGGTCTCCAGCACGTAGAAACACTATGGAGGTTGTCTCACAATTGATTTCCCTGTTTTTCCCATTCCTCAGGTTTTGAAGACTACAACTGAGGCACTGATAGAAGTTAACATCAGTAAGAACCTGGTTGGCTCTGCCATGGCAGGTAGCATTGGTGGATTTAATGCACATGCTGCCAACTTGGTGGCTGCCATCTACATAGCCTGCGGGCAGGTAAGGAGGTTCTTTTTAATCATTGCTTGTTAATTTATTTTATTACATTTCAGCATTAAACATGTCTCTCAATGTGTGTTTATCAGGATCCGGCCCAGTCAGTAAGCAGCAGTAACTGCATTACTCTCATGGAGCCATCAGGGCCAACAGGGAAGGACCTGTACATCAGCTGTACTATGCCCTCTATAGAGGTGGGCACTGTGGGAGGAGGCACCAACCTGCCCCCTCAACAAGCCTGCCTCAAGGTACACGCAGCACACCTGTAAACCTGTTTCAGTAACTCATAGTAAAGCTGAGTTGGCAAACAACATGCCTGAATATTATTGTTTCCTTTGTAGAGTTTAACCAAGTACAGCTGGTTTTGTTAGGCCTAACGGTTGCACTGAACTGGATCAGTTTATCAACATATGGTAAAGTATTTAGATTACTGTATTTACAGCTCTCCGGCTGTCAGCCGAGCTGGTTAAACACCAGCCTGTTAAAACACCAATTTTAACAGGATTCCTGTAGCTCCATAAACACACTGTTCTTCTAAGTTACCTTTAAAGTTTCACAGATTCAAATGAGAAATTATTATATGGGGCAGTTTTAGTTATGTTTATTTTACTGTTCCTTAATCATATTGTTGGATAAACAAGAAATCATTTTTAATTTGGCAAATAAATTTTTCTTATTCCCAATAATAAACAAATAAATCTCCTGACAAAGGCTGTGTTCACGCTGCATCTTAAAGTGGCCCAAGTCTGATTTTTTTTTTTTTTTTTCCTTTATGCGACCTGTATCTGATCTTTTCATGACAGTTTGAACAACACAGATGTTGTTTTTTTTCCTAATGCGATCTAGGCCACTTGGATATGTGGTTTTAAATCCAATATGTATCCAATCTTTTCTGATATGACCTGTGTGTACAGCCAGGTCGCATTCATCCAACCTGAACGTCATTGATGATTGATACAGAAGCTAGAAGAAAAATCACCAACATGCTGGACGATAATGAGGATTAAGTTAATGTGCTGGCTCCACTTGGGCAACAACTTTAACACACAAGGCTCTGGTCCCCACAAGTGCTGTTTTTGGGCTAGAGGTTAGATTTAGAACGTAAAGTTTGAATTCAATCAATCTTTATTGTCGTTGTAGTAATAAAAATTACACGGATTATAATTTGGTGATAAATGGTACTAGGTGGCATTTAATGCCCTTATGGCTACTGGGTATCTGCAGCCAGATGGCAGCAGTTGGAATAAATTGTGTCCAGGGTGTAAGGAGTCTTTTAAAATGTTCCTGGCTTTCCTGAGGCAGTGGGACCTGTGGAGTACTTAAAGAGAAGGCAGAGAGCAGCCGATGGTCTTCTAGGCAGATTTAATGATTCTCTGGAGAGTCTTCCTTTGAGCTGCTGTGCAGCTGGAGAACCACACACAGACAACAGCAGATGATGTTCTTAAAAGAGCATCAACAGGACACCAGCAGTTTTTAGAGAAATATTGTTTCTCTCTGCTGGACCTTCTTTGCCAGTTCTGCTGTGTTTACATCAGAGGCCAGGTTATCCATGATATGAACTCCCAGATAACGGACGTTTGACACCCTCTCCACCAGTTCTCCGCAGATGTATAGTGGTTGAATGACTCTTACTTCTCCTAAAAATCCACTATAATCTCCTTGGTTTTGCCTGTATAAAGGATCAAGTTGTCTGTCCACCACGCTATAAGTCACTCCACCTCGTTCCTGTAGGCAGGCTCATCTCCCCCTGAGATGAGACCCACTACAGTTGTGTGGTCTCGAAATACAATCGTGTGTACAGCGTGAAGAGCAGAGGGCTCAGCACACTTCCCTGAGAGTCGGTGCTGATGCTGATAACTGAAGAGGTATGCAGGCCCACTCTGACTCTTTGTTTGTGATCTGTCATGAAGTCCTTAATCCAGCAACAGGTGGAAGAGGGGATTCCCAGGTCTGCCAGTTTACACACTAATATGTCATGGAGGATGGTATTGAAAGCCAAGTTAAAATTAGTGAAGAGGATTTGTGCGTAGCGTTCCAGGTGGGACAAGACAGCATGCAGGACAGTGGCAACAACATCTTCAGTTAACCTGTTAACTCTATAAGCAAACTGGTGCATATCAAAGGTGTGAGGAATGAACCCCAAGATGTGACTCTTAACCAGTCTTTCGAAACATTTCATCACCAATGGGGTGAAAGCCACTAGTCGGTAGTCATTCAGCCAGGTGATCTGTGATGTGATTTATTATTTTTTTTTTAGGAATGGGAATGATGGTGGAGATGGGCATGATGGGACTCTGGCCTGAGACAGGGACAGATGTTAAGATCTTTAGTAAATACCCTATCCAGCTGTTCTGCACAGTACCTCAGCACACATCCAGGAGCACCATCAGATCCTGCTGCCTTTCTGGGATGGACAGAGTATAGCGAGCGTCTCACCTCACTTCATATTCCTCCACCTTGAGGATAAAGTTGCTTAACTGCACTACTGCATTCAGAACAGCCGTAACTGGAGGCTTCGACCCGAAACGAGTAAAGAAGTGGTTCAACATCTCCACGTCAGTTGCTCCATTGCAGCTGAAGCTGTAGTTGATGTGCTGGATTCCCACCCAAACCTGCCTGCTGTTATTGCCTGGGTGCTCCTTCATCCTCCTCTTGTAATCTCTTTTAGCCTTTCTGATTCCTCTCTTTTGGTCACTCCATGCAAGCTGCATTGAATTGAGTTCATGTAAAGTTTAGGGTTAAGTATATACTGGTAATGGTTCGGTTTAGTTGGGGTTAGGCGATAGAAATGAATGGCAGTCGGATAAAGAAGCATAACGTGTGCGTATATTTGTTCAGATGCTGGGAGTCCAGGGTGCCAGTCAGCAGTACCCAGGGGAGAATGCCTGCCAGTTGGCCAGGATTGTATGTGCCACAGTGCTGGCTGGAGAGCTCTCACTGCTGAGTGCTCTGGCTGCTGGGCACCTTGTCAAGAGTCACATGACTCATAACAGGTAAGAGTAAAACATGCCAGCTAAAAGATTTAAATCCCCCACTTGTTCAAATCCTCCTCGAGTTGTGTATTGATTTCCCATGTAGTCCGGTCCGTTCTCCTGTGTTCCTGTCATAGCACAAGTGGCTAGCATACCACTGTAGCTTCCCTATCCTGAAAAAGCTAATTTAATTAGTTTTGTGATGTAAAACAAATACACTTATTTTGTGGAGACTTGTAGTTCAGTTAAATTTCAAAATACATTTGTACTTTTGTGCTTACAGCTGATTCCTCATTCTGTACAAGAAGTAGTTCAGTTTCTGTATGGATTATGACATGTATGCATGTTTTTTTTTTGAGTTTACATTGGGTTATAGTGATATTGCCTCATCAAAAACCTGGAGTGTTTTGATTCTTTAAAGGATTTCTCAAACATCATCATGATTGAGAGATGAGACCAAACAAAATGGAACAATATAGACAATATATTGGTTGTTACTACAGCATAATTTTTGGACTTGAGAAATCTCAAGGGTTTTTGTTTTGTTTTGGGGTTTTTTTTACTATAAATACAAGTATTCTAAGGGAAAATGTTTACATTTGGAAGTATATTTACAATCACATCTCTGACTGTGAACCCATGAAAACCCATTTTAAGAGGTACAAAGCCCCTGTGTATATTTACATTGTACATGGCAACAAGAGACCTGTGGGAATAACCTTGCTTTATTCTCCAAGGTTATTCAGAAGGGAGGTGTTGAAGTTAGGCTCTTAAAGTTGCATGCTTTTGAACAGAACAACTTAATGGTTGTCAGGACAGAATACTGAGTGTGATAATGTTTTGTTTGCAGATCTAAGGTGGACCTACATGGGACTCGGGGAACAATGCAGACTGAAAGAAGTTAGGTCTTGTTCAAGAAACTGGATGGAAGCCATAAAGATTAAGCCAGTTTGAACGGATTAATCATTTATCAATGAAGAAAAGATCTCACCTGTCTTCCACAGCTCTTGATACAAGATCATATTTTGATCAAGTATTGTTCAGTGCATAAAAAAAATCTTAAGCAACTCAGTTTTTCTTACTGCATCTACTTGTATTTGATGATTTTGTCATCAAGCATTTTTGCCAAACTAATCAAACTGAGATGTACAAAGGTAAAACTTGAGCTCAATAAATGTTTCTTGCTGGGGAGTCATACTCACCAGCAAAGCTGCTTTTTACACATTGTTGTTTCCTTTTTCCATCAGTCTTTGCTACTAAAATGCTCTGTGTCATAATTGGGGGAACTCACTAAGAGCTACAACAGTCCAGGTGATCCAATACTGGCTGAGGATATACATTTATTTATGCATGTTACTCATTTTAGCATGTATCCAAGGACAAAGAAGTGGAATAATTCGAGCAGTCCTAAATGGCTCAAAAATGCATTTTTCAAAGGACAAGAGAAGGGGGGAAAGTGGAACAAACAAAATCTAATTTGCAATGCATTTCTGACCTGCTATACAAATGCAGAACTGGTCTGCAAGAGGAAATGTGGGGTACTGAACTAGAAACCAGTTTTACTCAAAGGTTCTGCCTGGTAGTTCCCCATACATTGACTAAGTCAATAAACCAGTACTCAAAGTTGGTTCAGTCCTACACTTCGGACTGAATCATTGTTCTAACAATGATGGGGGGGACCTAAAAATTAATTCTTATTTTTTTCTTAGAGACATGGCAGATTTACTTCGTCTTTTGCGTCTATTGCCTTTTTATACTGACATTGTTTAAATACAATGGTTTGTTTTATGATTTCTTTGGGGTGACCATTCTAGGCTTCAAGATTTGAGACCAAAGAAACAATTTTGAAAGCCTTCACAAGAAACTGAGTAATTTTAACACTTTAAATGGTTATAACTTTAAGATTTAAATTAATGCCAATTCTGAAAAGGACCAAATACAATAGTATTGATTTAACTCTGCACAATTTGCTGCGTAGCAGAAAAAGATCCAGGTAACGGGTAAACAAATCTACTTTGACCATGATTATCCAACCAAGATTGTCCAAAAACAAAAGGCATATAAGGGCATTAAAAAATATTGAAGGAGAAAGGAATACGTTTCCAGACACCACTTGCTAAAATCCGGATACACTGGGCGAACTGAACGAAGACAAACGAAAGTGCCAGGACAGCAGCGGAGGACATGAAGGAAAGGGGCTACGATGTTGTGAGCCAGGAGGAGATGCTGCAGCAGCGGAGGAGAGACGAGGAGCCGCGGGGTAGCAGCAAGTGAAGGGGAAAGAATGGAAACGAGATGTGGCACACCGAAAGAGAAAAACTACAAAATTTCCAATGTAAATCTTAAAGTTTTGCTTTAAGAAGATGCTGACACTGCGGGAAAAGGGGTATGGATAAAAAAACAAAACAGACTATCTAAAATGACTAGTTATTAAAGATTGTACGGTACCATACCTATGTTATGGATAAAATGACTGACAGAAGAAGAGACTAGAAGGGAGTACCTGAAATCATTCAGGCTTTTTTTTACTTTACAGGATTCAATTAAAACCGACTGGGAGAGGGTGAGATATTTAAGTTGGACACATCACCAAAAGGGAGTTGGGGAAGAAGGATACCCCATGTTTGAAAGTCTGTTGGATTTTTGGTTCGCAAAAGTTCATCCTGGTTCTGTTTTGAGTTGCTTGGAAGCATATTGTCAGGGAAAAGTAAATCAATCAAGATAATGTCACTGAATGTGACATTTGAATGCATTGAGTAAAAAAGAGGGTGATGACAAAACTGAAAAAGGAAAAAGCACAAATTATATTCTTACAAGAGACTCATTTATCCAAAACATGAACATTTTAAAAAGTATGGCTATAGGAATCTATACCACAGTTCATATAAAGAGAGGCGCAGAAGAGGAGTTGCAATATTAATATTGAACACAATAAAATTTGATTACAAAAAGGAATTAAAAGATAAAGGACGATACATAATTTTAAAAGGAAGAATAGAAAATGAACTTATTACCTTGGTAAATATGTATGCATCCCCAGAGAGTAACAAAAACTTTTTCAAGAACCTATTTGATGTAATAGCACTAGAAACAAACGGAATTCTAAGTTGTGGAGGTGAGTTAAATGAAAAAATATTTTTTCTATTGTTTATAACGCATCAGTGAATAGAATAATTTTTTTCCCAGTACACTAAGGAAGGCTAATTTTGTGATAAAAAAAAACTGATTATTTTAGGCAAACTAAAATAATCACTTCTTTATGACAACAACTTCCCTATAGTCATCCATTATTGCCCAGATTTACCACAAGTAAACCTGGACACTAAAGACCCACATCAGTTACTGTGACAGTCGATGAGAATGAGGAACTTATTCCAGAAATT